AGGGTAGGAACAGGCAATTCATAAAAGGAAACTTGAACATATGAAGTTAGTTTAACCACAGTGAGTCCATGAAATACATGTTAAAATGATGAGGTGTCAGCAATCAAGAACAGGTGTGCCAGAAAGGTAAGAGCAAAGTGTCAGGAGCAGACGCCCTGGTCCCCTGTCCCTATGCCACCACCGCTTTCCAGCTGCCTGGTCTCGGGCAAGTTACTGAACCTCTGCGGGCCTCAGTTCTCTCCTCTGTACAGTGGGACTCTTTAGTAGCAGCTCTTCATAGAACGGTTGTGAGAACGGAGCAAATTCAATACAAAGTTTTCAGGACAGCAGATAGTAAGCGCTCCATACATGTTGCTCATTCTCGTTACTGATATTATTACCTATTCTCTGTCAATTGGAACGGCTCGAGGAATGGCACTGGGAAGAGTTGGGGGGACAGAGATGCCACACCGCTGATGAGAGAATGAGCTGGTATCTCTTTTCACAGAGAAACTTGGTCACGATTCAAACGCTTCAGAACGTAACACCTTGTTTGACCCGGCAACGCGTGGTCTGTGGACATTTACTGGAAGGAACAGTCAGACTGGTGCGGGTTCATCTACCGGTGTGTTCACTGTAGCACTCAAAAAAATAACACCAAAAACTTGGAAACAATGAAAACATCCAAGGACAGGAGACCAGTTAAATAAATTATTGTACAGTACCTTAGATGATGGAGTAAAGAGACATTAAAAAATGACATTTTAGGAGAGCATTTACTGACCCGGATCTATAATCCCAATATACTGCTCAATGATGAATCCGTTTGCAAAAAGTAATAAGTGTACATTATAACCACAATTTTACAAAAAGAAGACTAGGTGAACAGCCACATGGAAAAAAATGAAAATGTACTGGTTACAGACCCTTTAAATTTTCTTTTTATACTTTTCTAGGTTTTCCAAAATTTTCTAAAACAAGTGCCATCTTCACGGACAGGGAAATAGCATTATTCTCAAAACAAGGACAGAAGTCCCCGAGGCTACGCTGTCTGGGTCCCTTGGCAGGCAGCCGGGCATCCTTGCCTCCTCTGGGGACACACACATCTATGCTGCACACTTACGTGTGCGACAGACCCTCTCACACTCACGGCTGAGAAACCTACACAGAGGAAGCAGCGTATACGTGAGATAGACCTTGAACACCTGTAAATCCAATTTGGGGTCCTTGGGTTCCCTGTCTAAAGTACCGCTGACCACGAATTCTCTTTTCTTTGGAGCGCCACATCATGAAAGCTCAGTGTCAAAAAATAAATGGAATATTCCTTTTCTTTCATAAAGTTATTTCCCTTTTTCAAACCGTTTTCTCCAAATGCTTCCTAACTTTGATGGAGGACTGCCGTCATGTGTCACGACATCACGGCTTTGCTTGGGGTCGCCGCCTGCCAGCACCCGTCTCCCTTCCCAGTGCCTCCCAGGCGTTCCCCCGCAGTGCCCGCCTTTCTGTCCCTGCCCTCGAGGTTCGCCGTCTGCTGAATGCAGGCTGACATGGAACAGCTCCGTCTCCCAGCCAATAAGCAGCAGATGCAGAAGAAGCCTGTGTTGGCACAGCTTGGCCTGACGGCAGCCTCTTTAGGGAAGGGGCACGCATCCCACAGACGTTCCAGCCGTGGCTCGGCCAGTTCCCCACCCTGGCAAGTCCAGCAGCTGTTTCAGGGCCCCTGGCTGAGAGCTCCTGGTTTGCTGAAGGTGTCCGTCCACATCCAGAGCTCACGCGTGGGACTGACCCAACCCAGCATTCCCCTTTCCTCTGGGGCAGGGGAACCAGGTGCCCTAGGGGGTTCCCCACGGAGAGGCAGCAGCTCCTAGAGGCCTTGCTGGAGCCTGTGTCCTGCCTGCACCCACCCGGTGCCTCCCTGGGGGGCTCCTTCTCTACAGCTCAACTCCCTCCAGGCCCCACAGGCCAGTGCTGAGCCCCACGTCTCCGCTCGAGCCTCCTGTGTGCTGCTCGGCTGTACCTGCCGTGACTGTTACACAGATGCTCTCTACTCGGTGATCGGTGTCACGTACGCCCCCACCCCGACAGAACGGCACACTGCTGGAGTCCCCGGGGAGGAAGGAAGAGAGTGAGGCTGCGCGGGTGTTCTTTCCCCAAGGACCAGAAGAGTTTCTAAAACAGTCGTCTTTCATGTACTCTTAATTCCCTTTTTTAGGACCCTGAGCACTCTTTGCTAAGCTTTTGCTTTTGGGAAGCCACATGGGTTCTTTGCTGGGTCTCTCTTGTGTGTATGACAACACGGAGAACATTCACACTTTTTAGCAGCTGCCACTGGTTCTCAAAGGGGAGCACCCACCTTTGCGGGGGACGCCTGGTGGGCTTCCAGGCAGGGTGGAGAAGAGGCCTGTGTTTGCCAGGGGAGCAGGTGGGCCCCTGGGGAGAAGGCTGGGTGGGGGCAGGTACCCAGACATCAGTGGACAAGGGTGGGGGCAGGAAGGATGTGGAGGCTGTGTGTGAAGGGTCTCTGGGCCTGGCTGCGGTGGGGGGGGGGGGGAGGTGGGGCTGGCTGTGGGTCATGTGCTGCAAAGGGCCCCTCCCTTCTACACCCCCACAGAATCAGGAACGAAGTCTACACCGGCACTAGTGCTTTTGTGTAAATGACATTTTTTGGGGGATAAACAGGACCTCCGAGTAATCGTAGGTATTTAGGCTACAGTTTTCCTCCACGAAATGCCCAGACCTCTTTGAGTTCAGTGTTAATTTTTATTACCTTTCAGCCCAAACAACTGCTTAATGCAATTATCTTTTCCCTCTGTGTTCACAGACCTCCTTTCCATTCTCATGAACTGAGAACACCTGCCGTCTGCCTTCCTTCTTCCCTCTTTCCTTGTCCCCCCCCCTCTAGACACTCCTCCTGGCTCCCTAAACCGCAGAGCTCAGAGGGGACTCTGCAGTTGGCCTCACCGAGCCGGCTGCCCGTGGGGCCCATTCTGCTTCTGCACAGATACCTGCTCTCACGGGGCTGTTCTCCGGGCCCCACCTGTGGCGCATCCACCTGGGAGCCAGCTCTGTGGGACTCATGGTGCTGATTTCTCCCCGGCCTCCAGCCATTCCTCTGCAGCTTGGTGCCCCCTCCAGGGCCCAGGGCCCAGGGCCCCTCTGCAGGGCTCCCACACAGTCAGCCTGTCCTTCTCTCCCTTCGTCTGGACCCGACACTGTGTCAGAGCGTGAACTGCTCCTCCCCTCCTTGGTGCGGCTTCCCCCTGACACCCACAGTCCGGCTCTCTTCCTCTTCCTCTCCTGCAGTGACCTCTCACCCCCCCGACCCCGGAAACCCTGGGTCTGCAATCCCCCCGGCCACCAACTCGCCTCCTCAAGGTCCCTAGCAAGGTCAATGTGGGGCGTCCTTGATGGCTCCCTGTCTTCCTGCAACCCGTCTTTTTTGCCTGGCTAGTTGGCACCAACACGCTCCATTTATTCCTGCAAAGATTCACACCAAGCAGATTCCCCACCTAAGCCAGAGGGCCCTGAAGTGAGGTGCGTCTGGCACCTAAAACCTTGGGTGAACGTCAAGCCCAAGAGTCAGTTTACAAATCTTGGTGCAGACGTGCGGAAACAAACCCTCGCCCATCGCTGCAGGGCGGGGCCGGGGGGGGGGGGGAGTGGAGTGCTGTGGCCTCCACAGGAACCCGTGTGGCGGGTCCTCAGAAAGCTGAAGGTAGACTTCCCACCTCACCCAGCAGTTCCACCGCTGGGCCACACCCTGGAGAGCGGAAAGCAGGGCCGCAAACCCTTGCGCACCCGTGTTCACAGTGGCACTGTTCACAGTGGCCAGAAGGTGAGAACAAGCCAACACCCATCGTCGGATGGACAGATGAAGGAAATGTGGGGTATCTACTCAACAGAACAGTATTCAAGCCATAGAAGGAATGCAGTCCTGGTGACCTGAGTGAATCTTGAAGACACGCAGCAAGTGGAATAAAGCAGACACAAAGGACAGATACTGCACGATGCCACTTAGATGAAGCAGGGCCCTGGAACAGGCAAATCCACAGAGACAGACAGCACGGCAGAGGTCGCCGGGGGCTGGGGAGGGGCTGGAGAGCTCCTGTTCGGTGAGAAGAGTGTGTGCGGAGCAATGAGGAGTTCTGGGGATGGACCGTGGTGAGGGCCCCACAAGATTGCATCACACTGCGTCCCTTCCTTGACTCCTCTGCGGCTGTGTCACTTTCCCTGCAAGCCTCCTGCCTCCTGGGACAGTGTGCCCCCCGAATTCCGGGGCCGGGGGGGAGGCAGTGACTGTCCTATGACGGCAGGAGCGGGCTCTCTGGCTATCACTGGAGCGTGAGGGCAGGTCTCGGTGAGGGACCTGCTGGAGGGACTGCCTGCCCCGCCCTTGGGAGCCGCCCACTGCCCCCAGGACTCTGTGTGGTGTGAGCCTCAGATGTCTGGGCAGCCCCGGTTTTGTGCCCACAGACACAGAAACGGGGACTTGGGCTTGCTGGCAACGGGCTCTAATCCCATCACAGTCGAGGAGAATACACAGCGTTTCAGAGCCTCCCGCCTGCTTCCACATGGCATCTGGAGATGAGGTGGCTTCAGCGGGCTTCAGCCCTCCCAGCAGGAGGGCCCTACACTCACCAGGGCCAGAGGCGGCCGGCACCTTCCTGCACGTTCCCCGAAGGGACATTGGACCAGCCCCATACATGGCTCAAAGCTTCGCTCCCCAAAGCGGCCCCGTCACAACATCCAGAGCTGTCTAACCCCAGAGGGGCTGGGTCGCGCAGGAAAACCACGGCTGATCTCACCGCGGGGCTCCTTCTCGCTGACCGGCATGACTGCACAGCTCGACGGAGGTGCGGGGACTGAGCTCACTTCTGGAGGCTCCTCACGGCGCTCGTGTGTGTGCTGTGCACCCCCTGGGCCCGGGGGCACATTCGGCTGCCAGGCTTGGGTGGGTGCTCTGCTGGGGGACCTTGGACGTGGAGGGCCGTGTGGGCAGAGGGGCGGCTGGAGGGACTTACCTTGACGCGGTCCATGCATGCTTCCATTTTGAGCTGCTCTACGGCCTTGCGGGCCTGCGAGATGCTGGCGGTGCTGTTGTTGGACATGCCTTCCTCTGGCCCTCGGCCCTGAAACAGCCCGGGACACAGGGTTGCAGGTGCTGCCTCCCCAAAGCCGAGGCAGAGCCCTCCTCAGCGTCCCCCGCCTGTCACCCACTGCAGGTCTGTCCTGCCGGAGGGTTCCGGAGCACAGGCCCTGGGTGACAAGGGGAGTGCCCCCCACCCCACGGTGATGACGCTTGTGTGTGCAAACACTCTCAGACCGGGGAGAGGGAGTAGCAGGTCCCAGTCGGTCCAGTCACTTTGCTGCCCCCACGACCGGAAGTAATACCTTGACATTCGTACAGCTCAATTCTTTCTTAGTATTGTAACAAGCCATTCATTCCCCTGGCAGTCCACGAAGTTAGCAAAACACATTGCTTCCGGCACCGCCCCCCCAACACCCAGGAGGAGAACCTGCAGAACATTCCACCAGCTGAGCTCCCCTTTGTGTCCGGGTGGGGGTGGGGGTGGGGCCCCAGCCCCTGGGAGTGAGACTCACTGGCCCTCATCTGTCTCACTTCCTCTGATAGCCTCTCCTGCCCTGGTCCCCACCACTGTGTCCCCTCCAGACCACGTCCTGGCTCGGTCATTGCCCTCTGACTACAGCCTCGGACCCTCCTCTTTGGCTTGGAAGCACCGTGTCCCTCCACGCTGTCACCTCAATTACAGCATTTGTGCACTCTGGTTGCTTACACGGGCTGCCTAAGTGACAGGACTGGCACTGCTGTCACTCGCTCCCAGGGCCTGTCTTCTTGCCTTTGTCCCCAGAACCTGACACGGGTCATCTGGCTCCATGCTGGCTCCACTCACATGGAAGAACGCTACGTGTGGCCCGTGCTGGGGCTGGCGCCATCGGCCAGTCACAGGGCAGCCTTCTCGGGTCCCCAGAGTGGCCGGGCCACCTCCCCCGTCCCCGGTCCCCCCCCCCCCCCCCGCTCCTCCTGACGGGCTCAGTCTTCAGCTGCCATATCGTTTCCCACCACCTCTGACCTCGCACCCTGCGCACCGACCTCGCTCCCACTAAGTGGACAGACGGCCACCCAGGCAGGGCCTCCTCAGCCCTTGTCCCCGCCGCACCCCGTGCCCACTGCATCCTCATACCCACTCAGCTCGGTGGCCATTCCCCTGCAACGGGGGCTGCTGCCGGCCACCCACCGCCACTCCCAACCGCTGCCCCAGCCAGCAGGGCCACTGGCCGCTCCAGGGGCTGAGACGCCACCCTCTCCCGGCCTGCCTCCCTGCAGCCAGTCCAGAGTGCGGGAGCAGCCCTCACCGAGGGGACACGCAGGGACGTGTGCCGGGGACGGGCAGGCAAGGGCTTGTCCCTGGGGGAGGCAGGAGGGGGCAGGCTCCAGCCTTGGCTGCCTGACTGAGTCAGGTCCCGCTGACCGCTGGGGACTGACCCCGGGGCCAGGGGCCAGGTCAGGACACTCAGGAGACACTGACGCGGAGTCCCGCATGGGGTGGGGCCTGGGCACTCTGCTTCTCCCTGAGACTCTCTGTTCCTGGCAGCCGGCCGGGCGGTGGGCCAGGCGCAGCTGGAGGCGCCCTTGCCCGGGGCCCATTCTTCACATGGGGGGACTGGCCCCTCCTGGCGGCTCTGCCCCTCACCCCACTTTCCCCTCGACATCCTGGTTCCCGGTGCCTCCTCCTCAGCACATTTAGATCTTCTTCACCTTAAAACCACCATCAACCACGAAGCAGAAAGCCCTCCTGCCCCGGCTCCCGCTGCCACCGCCCAGGGAGGAGGTGGAGCAGAAACTAGCGAGGCCTTGAAAGGCCCGGAGGGAGCTAACCTCGGGCATGCGGAGCACCTGACACCGGGCGCCAAGGGCCTGCCCCACCCCACCCGCCTCCACCCCCTTCCCCTCGCTGCCCTCAGCTCGCCAACCCGTCTGTGACGTCACTCTTGTGGCCAGCAGTGGCCGCACGCTGAGTCACGGGTGTTCCCTCCACGTGCATGGTCTCTCGCAGCGCGAGCGCCGGGACCCGGCCCGTGACCCTCAGGGCGGCATCTGCGGCATCTGCAGGTCAAGCTCCGGGGCTGATTCCGGAATGTACTGGGGGTGGAGACCCATGTGACTCGGGCGCCCTCATGTCACCAGATCGCCTTGCTGAGAGTCCCAGGTACCCGCAGGGCTCTCCAGATCAGGTGATTTTGAACTTTCCGGGGGTCCGTGATGCTGTGCCCACCCCGACAGAGGGGCTGGACTCTGGTCCCAGGGCACACTTCTGACTGGTCCCCATTGTGGCTGCCCCAAGGCCCACACAGAGCGACCAGGCTCCAAATCACCTGACTTTGCTCCTGGAGGCGCCTTGGAGGCCAGGCCCCACCCCCTCGATTTTCCAGGATGGCTCAGTCACTGAAGTCCCCAGCGCCCCTCCCCGCCTGGCCACCCCTCCTCACCTGACTTGGGAATGGGGTGACAGGGGCCCCCGATCCCCAGGGCAGGTAGGGCCACCCAATGGGATAGCTGGCAGGGGACGAGGAAACGGATTTGCCGACTACAACTAAAGATGATGGAGTCTTAAACATGTGACCCCACAGGAAGGGCCCTAAGCCCCCGACCGCCCGGCCGGGTGCCTCTGAGTTCCACTGGAAGAGCACCCCTGCCCTCCGAGGCCATCCAGGCAGCACACACCTGCGTGACCTGGTGGTGCCTCCCTCCACATACACGCGTGAGTGTCTGCGGCCCACCTCGACCCCACAGGAGGAACGGGAGTGGGGTGGACCACGCGCCCTGGCCCGCTCGCTCCACTCACGGGTGTTAGGCCTACAGGCGAGGGGGAGGCGAGCCCACTGCTCGGGGGAGGGCTCTGTCACCGCTGGGCACCCCGAGTCCCTCACTCGCAGACAGGGCCCGCGGGAGGCTCTGGTGGGCCGTCCCCGGCGCATAGCTCAGCGAGCGCCGGGCAGCACTCGGGGTGGGTCCCCACCCCCCAGGGCTGCTGATCGGACTGGACTCGGGCACGGCATGTAGACTTCCTGGAGGACTGGATGGCACTGTGCCTTCTCAGCCACCCTCCCTAACGAGACTTATCTCCACGAGCTGTTCATACATCTTGTCCGGCAGAGGGGCTCAGTCTGTCCCCCTGGCAGATGCCTGAGCCACCAGTGAGCCCAGAACCCCCACGGCACCCCCAGCTTGAAGGGACCAACCAGCTTAGACGAAAGGGACAGGCCGCTGTGCTGGTTAACACCCCCCCCCCCCCCCACCACCACCACCCAGAACAGCGTGCAGCTCTTGCTTAGGGGGCCACAGAGCTTGGTTCCCCCGCCCAGGCCCCACACTCACCAGGACGGCTCACTTCCCCTCCTCTGCTGCCCCACTGGGGGGCACAGAATCTCATGAGGGGCAGTATGAGGTTCCACAAGGGCCCCATCTGCTCTGCGGGCTGGGGGCAGGAGATGCAGACGGCTGGCGGAAGAGGAGAGTGGCGCTATGAGCACCAGGCCGCAGGGGAGGGGCCGGGACAGCCCCTCACCCCAGGCCACGTGTCACTGCTGGAAAGACACCTGATCTCCAGAGGGAAACGCTCTCACGCTCTCACGTTCTCACACAGGAGTCGTCACTTCCTTACCTGCTGAGAGGCAGCGCGGTGACACACCTGGGCAGGGGGCAGGGGCAGGCTGCTGGCGGCCGCAGCTGACCGTTGTCAGAAGAGGGGCTGGTTCCGGGCTCCTGCGCCGAGGCTCTGAAACCACAACCAGAGAGGGGTCGGCAGGTGCGGCACAAGCCAGGTGCCCCCCACCAGCAGTCCCGCTCCCACGGTGCCCACTCCTCGTGCTCGGCAACTGTCCCCGGCAGCCCCAGGACTCTCGTACCAGAGCACAGGCGGGCGAGAGGCCGGAAGGGAGGTTCCCAGCTGGACACGGCCGCCCGGGCCTCCCCAGACAGGCTGCCCGCCACCTGTATGCCCCACCCATGCGCCGCCCCCCCCCCTCCAGCCGACTCTGCCAACCAGAAACAGATATTTCTTTCTTTTTTTTTTTTAAAGCAAGGAAGGTAATTATTTTTTAAAATTCTTTAAAAATTTTTTTAAAGATTTTATTTATTTATTTTTTTAGAGAGGGAAGGGAGGGAGAAAGAGAGAGAGAGAGAAACATCAATGTGAGGTTCTGGGGGTCATGGCCTGCAACCCAGGCAAGTGCCCTGACTGGGAATCGAACCTGCGATGCTTTGGTTCGTAGCCCGCGCTCAATCCACTGAGCTACACCAGCCAGGGAGATGTTTGTTTCTTATTATGAAAAGACGTGTCCATTGTGGAAAATGTGAAGATTGAGACAATTAGAGCAAAGAAAGTAAAGATGGGTGGTAGCACCTGGTCTCAGAGACAATGCTGGTTAACACCGCACGCACACTGTTCTCGCACGGCAGAGATAACACCGGCCGCGACCCCAGGCCGTGTTTGAGAGGGGGTGCAGTTCGAGGGCTTCTCGGTCTCTTTAGAGCTGGGGACACTCCACAGACAGGCCAGGCTCCCCCTGCAGAAGGTCGACCTCTGGGGCGGGGCCACCTGGAGCGATGCTCGAGGGGTGGCCCACGGGATGGCACCGCTTTCGGCACGAAAGGGGAGGACAAGTCCTCCTAACGTCCAGAGCAACCGTCCACTCACCACCCTTCCACCCCAGCTGTAAGATATGTTGGTTTGTTGCAAGGACTTCACACACTGAGCAGAAGTTTGGGGTGTCCCCTGGATAACGGGGGTTGCATGAGCTTGGAGGAGGGGCTCTAAAAGGGAAAGAGATCCTAATTCCCCCGACAAGGACTAACCACTGTGGCAGCAGAGGGCCAGGACTCTCTGCATGTGTGGGGGGAGGCGCACTGAGTGGCATGTCTCCTCACAGGACAAAATCTGCCCTTTCTCAAGGTCACTCCAGGACGGAGACGGATGTCCGGACCCCCGAGGAGAGCAGCAGAGAATGAGCAGCTGTCCACAGCTGTCTGCAGGAGCTGGCCGTGACTACAGGTCTGTGCCATCTCTACAAGGAACACGTGTTCCCTCCTCGTTCTTGGTGAGGCCCTGAGAACGTGGAGCCTGCTCTCAGGGCCACATCAGCCTGCCGGGGCTGCCGTGCGGACAGCCTGTCTGCAATCGCCTGAACCGTGCGCACCGCACAGCACGTGCTGCCAGGTCAGATGCCGGCGCCCTAGTGACCCAGAACGAGTGCCTGCCAGCCGGCCGTCCCTGCAGCCAGACCCTTCATCCCACCAGCAGTCGCTCTGCCTTCTTGGTCAGTCTGGGTGTGGCCCCAGCGGCTGGACAAACCCAGTGGCCGCCGGGAGTCTGGGAGCAGGGCCTCTGCCCTCCTGGAGGGTCTCCCCTACCCTGCACAGGGCCACCCCCCCCACGGTACCCCACTCTGCTGGGGAGTGCCACGGCAGCCTATCCCTGTCCTGCCGGGAGAGGGCTGTCCCAGCAGACGGACCACACTGTGCAACTGAGACGAGGTGGCTGTGTGCTCTGGGATCAGGTTCCTGGGGTGCCAGCTGCTGGCAGCTGCGTTCCACCCCCTATCATTTCCTGTTTTAAAGTACAAAATACACATTGAAATGCTTGAACTAAAAAATGTATTGAGGTGAAATTCACATGGCATAAAATAAATCGCTTTGACGTGACCCATCAGTGGCACTCGGTACAGTTCAAGCGCCAATGCCACCCCCACCCGCATCACATTCCCATCAGCTCAAACAGAATGCCACCCCGCACCCCTCCACAGAGCCCCGGGCACCCACTCATCTGCTGTCTGTCTCCGTGGATTCACCTGTCTGGACATTTCATGCGAATGGATTCACAACACGTGATCTTTGTGTTTGGCTTATTTCACTTAGCGTAATGCTTTGGGGGTTAATCTACTTTGTAGCACATATCACTACCTCATTCCTTTTTAGGGCTGGACAGTGTTCCGTTGTATGGATATACCACAATTTTTAACCCATTCATCTCCTGATGGACACTGGGGCTGTTTCCACCTTTGGCTATTGTGGGCTCTGCTGCTGTGGTATTTGTATTTGTATTTATATGTATATTTGTATTTGTATTTTTGCTGGAGCACCTGCTGGGAAGCGCTGTACATCCCCACTGGCCATGTATTAGGGTTCCAATTGTTCCCATCCTCACAAACAGGTTATTTTCTGTTTTTCAAATTTTAGTCATACTAGTCGGTCTGAAGTGGAACCTCACAGTGGCTCTCATTTGTATTTGCCAAATGGATGTTGAGCATCTTTTCATATGGTTGTTGTCATTATTTACTTAAAGAACTGTCAACAGAAAGTTGCCAGGACAGGACAGACATCTTCTTCCTGAACCCCTCGAGTGTAGAGGCCGACTGACCCCCACTCCCCCGAGCACTTCTGCACGTCCTACAAGTGGGGACATTCCCTCACAAACCACAACACGACCATCAGCACCTGGAAGTTAACGCTGACGGTGATACCCACCTAACCCAGAGACTCAGTTCTGGTTACCAGCAATGTCCTTCACCGCAAAGGATGCAGCTCAGAACACGTTGCCTATAGTTTCCACATCTTAGGATGAATGTCCTTCAGTTTGGGCCCACGTCACGTTTCCTCGTGACACTCAGGTGTCATTCTCGGGCAGGGAGACCCCGGATCATTACTGCGTTCTCGTTTCCTAGTGGGTGGCATGGGGCTTCAATCTGTCCCCTCACTGATACCGTCACCACATCATTCATTAAGGTGGTGTCTGCCAAGCTTTTCCACTTTGAAGCTGTACTTAAAAGAAAAATCCTCACCCAAGGAAATGTTTATTTATTTCAGACAGAGAGGAGGGGGGAGGGAGAGAGGGAGGGATGGAGGGGGGGAGGGAGAGGGAGGGATGGAGGGGGGAGGGAGAGAGGGAGGGATGGAGGGGGAGAGAGAGAAACGGATGTGAGAGAGGAACATCGATTGGTTGCCTCCCGTGTGCACGCCAGCTGGAAATCAAACCCACAGCCTAGGTATGTGCCCTAGGTATGTGCCTTGACCAGGGACTGAACCTTTTTGGTAAACGGGACGACATTCCAGCCAACTGAGTCACCCAGCCAGGGCAAGTCATACTTTTCCATTTTGAAATTGTGGGAAGAAACTTGGAAACTCTGCAAAGTTGCCCCTCGAGCCCTCCGTGCGCATCGGTCCTTGAACAACACAGGTCCGAACTGCGTGGGTCCACGTACAAGCAACGTCGTTCCAGTAAATGTGCGGGTGACCCTCCGCGTGCCCAGCTCCGCATCCACGCCGTTCTGTAAGAAAGGCTGGATCGCCTGAGGATTTTGGCATCTGCGAGGGTCCTGCCACCAGCCTCCCGTGGATGCCAAGGGGCGACTTTGTTAAGTTTGGGGGGAGTCAAGAGTTGGACATGCATTTTGACTGCGTGGGGTGTCAGGCCCTGACCTTGGCCTGGTTCCGGTCCGCCGTGTTCCCTCGCTGGCTGGCGTCAGCAGGGACTCGGGCGTGGTGGTCAGCGGGCTATCGCGCATTGCTATCAGGACTGACTGTGACTCATCGGTCGTCCCAGGCTCGCCGGCCGCCAGCCCGGAGCCTGCAGGCTGGGGCCTGTCTTTCTTCACTGTCGTCACCATTCTTCGACCACGGTGCACAGATGATGACGCTCCTGCTTTAAATTCCTACCAAACCCGCATCTCCCCTCACCCCGGCCAAGCGTCTCTGCTGCCCGGGAGGCAAATGCTGCGAAGTCCTGGGGCCCTTCCCAGCTGTCCAAGGAGAGGGGCCCAACCTCCCAGGCCACCTCCGGTGAAGTGCCCAGACACTCCGGGTGTCGGTCTGATGCTAATAGATCCGAGCGTTGACTATGTGTGAAAAGGTGTTAAAACGTGTGATGTTTACAAATGTAACCGGCGGCTCCTGTTACGGACTAAACTCCTCCCCATCAAGCCCCAGTGTGACTGTTTTGGGAAATAGGACTTCGATGAGTAATTAGATTAGTGAGGTCACAAGGGTGGGCCCTCACCACAATGGACTGGTGTCCGATAAGAAGAGGAAGAGACACAGGATCCCCCTCTCCCCGAGGTCCCCACCCTGCCCCCTGTGCAGAGGAAAGGCCGTGTGAGCACCAATGAGGGGTGGCTGTCTCCGAGCCAGAAAAAGGTCTCACTGGGAGCCACCCCTTCCAGTACTTTGGTTTGGACCCCAAGCCTGGAGAACCGTGAGGAATAAATTTCCGTTGTTTAAGCTTGTGGCATCCGTTTTGGTGAGTCAAGCAGACTAAGACGGCTCTTCACTGCTTATAAGATGAAGGCAACTAGTGCAGGGCAAGGCCACGGATGACTGTCGACAGGCCCCTGCACTGCGGTGGGACACGGGGGCAGGCAGAAGGACGAGGGTGAAGCCCCACCCTGCTCGCCAGGAGGGCGGTGTCTGGAGCATACCAGAGTCATCCCTGGGAAGTACTTCCAGCAGCTCGAGAGCACCTGGGAGCCGTCTTATCCCCAGGTGGTAGCAAGGTGCCAGACGAGGCCCATATCAGCAGGTCAGGATGGTCTCCATGTGGCTTCCAGGCCCCACGGGGACATGCCTCTTACAAGAGTCTCCAAAACTTGGGGAAGCGCAAAGGACGGCGTCCACATTAGGTGTCTGACGTGCATTCGAAGCTGCACCCAGTCACGTGCCATTTACCAGCAGGAAGCCATTTCTACCAGAAGCAACTTCGTCTGACAGTGCAGTGGACACGTGGCA